CTACCTGAATTTCGTCGACTTGGTCTTGCATCACTAGTGAACGTATACTTGGCGTCGGAATTGTTTAAGTTACAAGAACACGTTTTCTGTTTTGTGTTCAATGAAAATGAGTCATCGTATAAAATGCTTGAAAGATTGGGCTATAGACTAACATCGAAGGTCACTTTGGTTTACGTCACTTTGAAATAAAAAGAAACAACAAGTATCAATGATGGTGCTTTTGTCGATCGATGAGACCTGTCGCAACACTTATCGTATAATATTTGCATCTTTCTTTCTTTTTAAATGTATGAGGAACAAATAAAAGATATTTTCAGCTGCTTACTATTACTTGTCTAAATACAGATAGTACATATACAACGTTCTTTGATTACTCGATTCATCCTTCTGTTGAACTCTTATATGCTTAAAAAAATTAATTTACAGCGAAACACTTCATCTTGACATCTTGAAATATACAACATTCTAATTTTTAATAAGTTTGTTCGTAATTCTGCAGTACTTTTATATCATATCAATATGTGTGAGCGTTTTTTATGTAAGTTTTCATTTCATAAGTACTTTGGTGTGTTTCTACTTTTATTGGTATCAATGACTTTTACATGACTTTCTCAACTTTAAGGTGATTTTGAGAGCATGCTCATGATATTCTTCAACTTTTGATGAATTTAAACGCTTTTGTTGAATTTGAAAATCACTTTTCAATGACTTTCATAATCTTGGAAATCAATTACGTCATCAAAGTGAGCCGTTTCTTCGATTTGCTGCAGTTCTCTTAGAATATTTGACTTGTTTGAATACTACTGACAATATATTGTTTGTATGTTGCTCGAAAAATCAATCAGACATACAACAAGTTATTTTTTTAGTGCGCAAAAGAAAAAAAAAGTCTAGCTATTAAGAGTGTCTGTCCTGCTTATAATTAACGCTCTGATGAAAATAAAATATGAAGAAAAGTACATAAGAAAAACAAATTTTTCTACATTGACTCGTGATGATCAGTGAAGAGTGACACAAGACATAAGAAGAAAAAACGGACGTGCGTCTGATCCTACTATACATACAGTCAAACGAAAATGAAATTTTTCCACATAAAAAATGCAAGGTCTTTCTCTCTGTCTCTCTTTACCTGTGTGTCTTCATGTTTGTGAAAGCGTTGAATATTTCTTTTCATATACAACATATTATTGAGACAAAAATGACGGTGCTATTTTGTTTTCTTTCTGAAGATAACTGCAGATATGAATCATAACCAATGTATAATACTTTTTTAATCGATACATGCCTAGACGCGATTTTCTTACAATCTGCGTGCTCAGTGCATTAATTTTTTAGTGCAGATATGTTTTGAAGTTCTTGTTTAGTTGCATTCCAACAGATTTTTTATCAGTCGGGCAGACAGATTCAAGATGTGAAATGTATCAAGTACCATAAACAACAACTGAATGAATATGTTTTATCGATTAACACAGCAGTGAAATATTTTTCAGTTGTCTGTTTCATTTCACATTGCTAAGGATGGTGCAAAACTTCCCAACAAAGTACAGAAGACTAGCATGACAAACATTTTTGCAACGTTTGAATGATGATAGATGAAATTATATACACAGATTTGTTTTCACTTATTAATCACTCTGCAGTAAAATCGTCGAATAGTACTGTTCAACTTCTACTATACAATGAGTTGATTTTAGTTTTCAAAATTTGCAAAAACTTCGTTTTGTTGACATCCAGCTAGAATTGATTTCAGGAGCGCTTCTGGACGCAGTTTTGTTTCAAAATATGATGAGAAGCAAAAACAATATTGTACTCAAGACATAGTTTGCAATTGCAAACACGCACATACACGTATCAACTCAAACAATTTGACACATATTATGATTTATTTCTACAGTAATTGTTAGAAAGCAAATATCATAGTGGCATATGATTTTATGAAGAGAAATTTTCGATTATTTTAACTTTAGTCGAAAGCAAAAATATAGAAACAAAACATGTCGAAAACTGAGGTAAAGACTTTTATAGATGTTCTCGTTTTGATGCTATATCTAACAGAGGTCCAACCAGGCCGTGTTTTTCAGGCCTGTACGGCCTGTCAAGGCCTGGTATGTTTTTCAAGCGTATACGATAATGATAAAATACTGAAAATGAGATGTGCAAACAGGGCACTAACACTACTGCAGAACCCGAACCTGACCTGCCTGTTATTGGCAACACCCCTGATTTTCAGATCAATGAAAGTCACAGGCTCACGCAATTATGGGCCTGTAGGCCTGTCTGGGCCTGTCACTTTCACTATTCTGAAAACTATGAGTGTTACTTATAACAGACTGGCCAGGCTCGGGTTGAGTAGTAGACTTAGTGCCCTATTTGTACATCCCGTTTCCGGTCTTTTATCATTATCGTATACGCTTGAAAAATCTACCAGGCCTTGACAGGCCGTACAGGCCTGAAAAACACGGCCTGGTTGGACCTCTGATATCTAATGTACAACGTGTTTATTCAACTTTGTAATGCTATTGTTCGTTTCGTTTTCTTTTCAAGATTTTACTATTTATTGTTTTGAAGTTTATTTTGCGACATTTTTACTTTTGATCAAACTTTACTTTATCAAATTCTCGACCTTTTATTGTTAGTACGGTCATCATCAGCTTAAACATATCACTTATGACCTTAGTCTAACTATATATTTAACAAACTAAACAATAATAGCTAGAAACGATACAACACAAACTAATCCATAAACATTAACATATACATATACATATATCGATGGGCATTAACTTGACTAAAGTAGATATGAACGTATTTAAATCAATATATCATATATTTCAAGTGTATAAATCCACAATAACAATGATAGTAATTTTAAAGAAGAAAGACTTGAACAATAGCAATAAACAATTAATGATGAAAACTTAGTATAATGTAATTTTATGAAAAGGAATTTTTGACCTTTTTTTATGTTCATCGATGTATGTACTTGTTAATGTTTATGAATTAGTTTGTATTGTATCTCTTCTAGCTGTTATTATTTGTTATTTTTCAAATAAATAGTTATACTAAGATCACAAATCATGTGTTGCAGTTGATGATGACTGTGCTAACAACAAAAAGTCGAAAATTTCTCTTCGTAAAATTATTCTATGCTGCATTTTCTTCATTTATTGTTTATTGATATTTTTTCACCTTTGCTTCTCTTTAAATTATGATTGTATCATTTTTGTTGTCTGCGCAATATGTTTTGTATGAAAAAAAATATTCAATACTTTCACACACATAAACACCCGTGCAGGTAAACAGAGAGACAGAGAAAAAAAACAACTATCATTTTTAATGTGGGAAAAAAGCCATTTCTTATGACTGCGTGTATAGTAGGATTGGTTATGTGTTCGCTTGTGCTTCTCATATCTAGTCGCTCTTCACTAATTATAATGAGTTAATAGAAAACAAAATTGTTTTCGTTACGTACTTCTCTTCATATTTTGATTTCAGCCGAGCGTCAAAACTGCGTAGACATAGACACTGAATAACTTGACTTTCTCTTTTTTTTTGCTTACTACAAAATAATTTCTTGTGTGATTGATTTTTTGATCAAAGTAAATACTATATATTATGAGTTACATTCAGACAAGTCATGTATTCTCAGAAAAATCTAATATTATTATGTACAGGATCACACACAAAATGGTTTCATAAATATAAGTTAAACTTCTTCATCGCTTTCTCATCGCAGCTTTTTCATCAATAGCTATTGTTTGTAATCGTATTCGTTTGTGTCACATTCACTCCGATGTTTTTTTTCTAACAGCAATATGAGACAATTTCCTCGGTAACTTTCGGTGCAGTTTTTTTTTAAAGTCATAGTCAATAGTATCTCATGTGAACAAAAGTAAGTTGAACTATCACCAAATAATGGATTCGGTAACGAAATACCAGTTACTTTTTTGAATAATTATTTGACTCGTTTTCCAGTACACATATTTTTAATGTTGACTATCCCTGTTATCGTAACGTTTCGATAATAATCTTATTGTTATGTTATCAACTTTTGTCTTCACCGATTTATTCATTTAAGATTTATTGATTCTATTGTACGCATCGATTCACTGCTTACTTCTATTGTTGTATTGGAAAATATCGAAAAACATTGAAAGTAAGAATTTGCTTTTGTTAATATCATGTACAGGTCTAGTATAAAACTATACTTTGTAGCTCATATTATCTTTCCATTGACATTAGGTTCATTTTACAAATTGAGAAATCATCAGATATGTTAAATAGTGATTTCAAATAAGAATAAATCAAGCAAAATCAATTCTTGTAAAGAAATTATATCTTTCTTAGGAAAAGTTAAACAAAACAAGCGATAGATGTTGTTCAACATCAGTTGTTTTGAATTATTAGGTGTTAAGTTTTGAAAGACTTCTCCTTTTGTCTTAATATTAGCACATATAGAAAGTTATATACTAAAATAAAGGTTGTCAATAATAAAAACTTGAAGAGTTATCAGAGTTTCACATTATATACCTTAGTAAAACTGTAGTAGCAAACTTTTCTCGAAAGAATGTTTTAGTTATTTGACACATTAAACAATCCTCTTATCTGACGGCTCTATTCTATATTTGCATGGGCCAGTTTTCCTCTTTGTCTTTGTCTTTCAAGTGAAGAATCTTAGTCAACTGGTCTAAAACGCTAGAAAAAACTCTGAGTGGTTCCCTGCATTTGAAATTTTTATAATAGAAAGCAGTTTTAAAGCAAGAAAAGTTTGATACAGATTACTGACAAAAGATATTCGACAATAATGCCTGAGATTGTACAAGACATGTGACGATATCCTCTATTTCAAGAATTGTAAATCTGAACATTTTGAAAAGACCCAAGTTTATATTTCTAAACTCGTATGAGTCCAATGAGCCATGAATAACGTAATAAAATGCTTTGCTGATATCTAACCATTAAGCAAATATTTATATTTATTCTTTCGAAGTAACTCCCAAATGTCAACAGCTGACGACAATCTCGAGACATTTAGTCTGATCTGGCTTGATGCAGTGGTAAACACAGCAAAAGAAAACATTGGAGCTCAATCAGATCTTCGTGCAATCATTAATTATCTCAAAGTATTTAACAATGTTGAAAAGTGCGAAAAATTCATTCGAAAGTGTCACGATGCTGATCGAGTTGTGCTCATCGTCAGTGGTGGTTTGGGACAACAAATAGTGCCTCGGATTTATAAACTCCAACAAGTTCGTGCTATCTATGTCTACTGTATGGACAAGAAGAAAAATAAGAAATGGGCTAGTCAATATACAAAAGTAAAGAAAATTCGTGGTTAGTTGTAATTTTCTAAGAATCCTGTATTTAGATCAAATTAGTAACTATAGATCTGGATGAACTCATTCATCGAATCGAAAAAGATCATGTCAAGACAAAGAAAGTTGAAGAACAATTTGCAATCACCTTCTTGGAAAGCGATTCAGTAACAGATCGGGCGTCACTCGGTCTCAATGGGCAATATCTTCAATTTCAACTATTGATGGATTCCCTCCTTCGTATCAAAGCCACTGAAGAAGATAAAAAAGAGCTGATTGAGATTTGTAAAAAAAAGTACAAAGAAAACAAAAAAGAACTAAATAATGTTCGTGAATTTAAGAATAATTATAAACCTGATAAAGCCGTATGGTGGTATACGCGGGAATCATTTCTATATCGAATGTTGAACAAAGCCTTACGCGTACAAGACACCAAGTTGCTTTATCTTCTGCGATTCTTCATCTTCGATCTTTGGAAAGCAATTGAAAAGCATCGATGTTCAACACCCATTCGTACTTACCGGTCTCAATCAATATCAGATGATGAATTTCGTGGATTGTCAAATTCAGTCGGAAGATTGATTTCGATGAGCTCATTTTTCTCAACTAGTTTAGATGCAAGCAAGGCCCTCGATTTTGCCGATCCTACGGACGACCTTCGACAAATTTTCTTCGAAATTGAGGCTGATCCTCGAATTCGCGGCGTCAAACCGTTTGCAGAGGTCACTTCACATAGTGCTCATCCAGACGAACGAGAAGTGCTCATGACAGTTGGATCTATCTATCGCATTCTTGCCGTTGACCGTGTCGATGGTAAAATTTGGACGATTAAATTGCGATTGTGCAGTGAAGATGAAAACAATTTGAGAATTACGTTAGAACACATGAAAATGGAAAATCTTGTCGAAGGTCATGAGCAGCAACGTCTCTTGTTCGCCGCACGGTTGATGAACATGAATAAACTCGATGAAGCCGAGAAACATCTTCTTTATTTGCATGAAACGCTTCCTCATGATCATAAAGATATTGTTCATTTGTATTCTAAACTCGGAGATCTGGCATTCGAAAAGGACGATTTGACAGCAAGTCTCCAGTGGTATCAAAAAGCATTGAAGCGAAGAAATGAAACGCTCAAACCGAATGATACTAATCTTGCCGAAAGCTACAACAGTATTGGGAATGTCTATGCAAAGCAAAACGCTTGTAAAGAAGCACATCAATCCTATAGCAAAGCTATGGAGATCTGGAAGCGAGCGTTTGGTGAAGAACATTTAGCCATTGCCACCTGTCTCAGTAACATAGGTAATGTCTTCAATCAAGAGAAACGATATGCCGAAGCATTTCAATGCCATAATAAGGCGTTGTTGATTCGTAAAAAATTCCGTCCTTCTGATCACCCAGATGTGGCTGCATCGTTGAATAATTTGGGCCTTATCTGTCTATGTAATGGCCGCTTTCAAGAAGCGTTGAAATATTTCGAACAGTCGCTTGTGATTAAAGAAAAGTCTCTTTCATACCAGCATTCATCAATTGGAGCAACATGGGAGAGCATGGCCTACGTGTACGAACATACCCAGGAGTTGCACAAATCACTAATGTATTACAAAAAAGCGGCTGAATGTTATCGTCTCAGGTTTGGGCCTACCAACCGAAAGCTTGTTAATGTTGAACAAAGTATACAACGTGTCGAATTTAAAATTAAAAAAAAGTAACGATATTTCGTTTTTATGAAAGCGAGTGTACGAAACTTAATACATAAATAATTATTGAAATTTAACAAACAGAATTATCAATTAATAAAGTTCCAAAAATCAAGGAGGAGCATCGATAAGAGCTTTGAGTTTTCAAATATTCCGATACATACCGTGTCTCTCTTGTTTTGAGCATAACTATCTATAGACTTCTGTCTAGAAAAGATGATCTTTAACGGTAAGTCGATTGCTTTTGATAACAATGTCGGTGGTGTAGCAATGTAATGACAAAAGCAGGTATTGGTTGACTTTGTAATGCTCAACTTTTTTTGATAATAAAGATATTCGCTTTTGTTAATGTTCTAGTACAATGTAGGATCTTTGAATAATTGCAACTCTTGCCCAGCTGTCTCAGAGTGATCTAAATCTACGGTAGGGGTGTGAGAGTTGGCATGGGTCTTCTCTTTACCTACACCTACACTCGCATCTTTTTAGATTGATTAATGTACAGGCCAAGATTGTAAGCATATTTGAACATGAAACGCATGCTCACTCACTCTTCACTTCTAATTCATTAAGTATGTTGCACGTACTATCGTTGACAACTTTCACTTCAATAAATGCTATCCCATCTGCACGACAATGATAAAAATGTGAATTTATGCTTGATTGGTACTACTGAGTATTGAAAGTATAAGTTATCTTTTTGCCATAACAAGATCGAGATAAGGATCTTGAATAGCGTCAATCGCATCCTATAGAATACATAAACTTATACTAAGAGCAAGATTCGTGTGTGCGATTAGATGATCTTCCTATCCTCTGTAAAAGGAAAAAGAATAGAAACGAGAAAATATGTCATGGCACAAATATGTCCATGAAACTTATTTAATCAACAAGTGAAAATCTCGTAGTGAGCATTACTGTATCATAAAAGAAAAGTGAGAAACAAAATGTCAAGCTTAAAGAAATAAAGTTATTTAGTTTTTTGTAACAGCAAAAGTATGTTGTTAGGCTGTATGCAAGGTTTATTAATTTAAAAAAATTTGTTTAATGTATTAACATTTGATTTACGAAAATCTGATTCAAGTTGAAGTTTATGCTATCGGGTAGCTTTATTCAGTTTTAACCGTCAGCATCGATACTTGAACAATGAGTAATTGCATAATTCAAACGTTCGTACATGATTTCAGTCGTCGAATATGATGGTAAGTGAAGAGAAAATGAACACGTATGCGATCCTAAAATAATAATAATAATAACAAATTTAATTCATATTTCTATTTCGAAACACGATATTCATAAATGAAACGTATTTTTATAGAAGCAGATAAATTGCATTAGGATGCTCAATGCTTTTTTCGCTAGTAAGAAAAGCAAATTTGTCTCGAAAGATCTAACAATGATAACATATGGAGTCCTTGAATTTGATTTTCTGCCAAATCATCACAATTACAACTTTACAAGAGTTATTCTGTTGCTGTACAGACATATCAGAATTCTTTGGATAAGCATTGTAATGCTAGACAAATAATATTAAAGTTTTTACTCTTGTATAGTTGCTGAGTGTGAGTACGATCTTCTATTTTATGCACACTCTCGATAGGTACTCTAATGGTTAGCTGCAGCTTTTTCAGTGGTGAAAACGGTATAAAACAGTCTGTATTCACCAGTTTTCTTTAATTCGAATATTTTTCTACTCAATACAAAATGTTTCTTGATTTACTGTAAAGGAGGCTTTAATTAAAAAAAATCTTTCAAATAATTCCAAGACAATTTCCTTCTAGATTTATTTCTTGTTATATCATGACTTTAACGATTGTAGATTACATTATTTGACTAATTTGGCTTAGACAGTGCTCCAGTTGTTGTTCGTAAGAGAAATCTAAATACAGATTCGTGTCACAGCTGAGCATGCATTTCAAACGTTTTCGAAAACTTTCAATTTTCTCGTGAAATTTAGCCGTGTTTCTCATCAAGATGGCGTCAAAAAATTAATTCAACCAAAACATTCGTGTAACTATGAAAGGCAAGTGCTAAAATATTCAAATGCTATTAAATCTTAAAAAACGAGTTTTAAAGGTATAAGGAAAATGACGTTATGATTAAATTAATTTTATGATTGAGAACTATAAGGAGAGTCGTGGCTAATTTTTTTTCAAATGCATACAAATCAACTCAACTTAATATTTGTTGCTTGATCCCATATATGCAAAAACAATGATGAAATTTTTCGCTGGTTGTACTACTCGATATGTCATATCGTAGTGGTGACGATTGAAAAATTATACATTGCAATTTTTTATCGTGAGTCAAGCCACAATAAGGTAAGAAAAATCTAAAGCAGTATTAAGTGTATAGTCGTATTTTTTCATCCAAAATACAATAGATTTAGAATAACGATCGGAGATCTTGCCCATAAATCACTAACCGTATGTTCAGAATGTTACTGTCAAAATCGATTATACCTGTTAAAATACAATCTTTCCATATAATTATGTACATCTTATTTTTAAAAGTCTGATACTCTCCAAAGCGAAGTCAAATGAGAATTCTATAACTCATGTGAGGTATTTTGAAACGAAATTTCTGATTAAAATTATAGAGTCGGATAGCTTGAAAACTAAAACCAAACGTCAAAACTCTATTCAGAGTTGCCGATTACTCCTCTTGAAACTTAGTTTCAGATGATCAGAGATCAACTGGCCAAAATTTGCAATTTCCGGAAAACCCTTATAACTCTTAAAAAAAGTGAAAATTTTCAAAAGTCTCTTATGAAGACCACTAAAAATTCGATTGTCCCATATTTGTCTCTAGTATGCAGAAAACTAAAGATTTCTAATAGCTCGTGTTCATGAGTTATTTCAACTACATCGTCCGTCTTTATTACTTTGAAATGGATAGTAGTACCAGAGTAATAACTCTGAATAGAAAAGGAAATTCTTCGTCAAAGACGTAGTGATTGACATTGACATAGATCAATTCGACTTACGTGGAAGGGTTCTATCTGCTTCATATTCATCTCTCATTAATAAGTTAATCGAAAGTTTTTCTGTGAAATCTTCATCTCGACTTGGCAATGTATTTCTTCCCCAAACGAATTTTACGAATAATTTCCTCTGTTCTTCATTAAACATTTCACTTAAAACTTTCCAGAATCGTTGAATACATGGCTCTGCTGCATTGAAATTATCATACTGGGTATTTCGTTTCAGTAATTCAACATCGATTTGACGTTTTCCACATACAGCTTCTTCCAGTTCACTAATTGTAAGTAAACTCATAAAATTATTCGGTACAACACTACACAAGCCTTGACGAATATATTCAATTTGTCGACGAAATTCATTTAGACGATATTCACGATGACGTGTACAGTATTCTTTGAAATTATTAGCTGTTATTGGAATATTTTTGCCATCGGGAATCAGTTCATATATGTGTCCAGCTGAACTAACAATATTAAATCGAACTTCACTCATAATATTACTAAATAAATAATTGATATCACTGTCAATATTGATTGCTTGATTCTTTTGTATATTATGTTCCATTTCTTTAATAATTGCAGAACTTTGTATATCGATTGCTTCAATATCTTTCATAGCTATGTGTTCGCCTAGCAATTGTTTCCATAATAAATCGGGAAATTTTAAATCTAGATAATTTTTCTTTCGTATAGCCATACCCATCAATTGTCCAATAAATCGATATTGTTTTTTTATTTTAACGGGAATCGATTGATTCAGTGGAAATACATTTGGAATCCATCGATCGCGATTCAAACCAGTATTCGTTCGGCCATTTGGACACAAAATAAATAATGGTAATCGTGTACTACATATATCCGAACACATACTCGTGATTGAATCACGATAGGGTCCACCTTGATCGGTACTATGCATTCCAATGTATTGTGCTCGCCAAAGTCGTTGACTATCATGTCTAAATAATAGATGAGCATTTTCATGTAGTTGTTCATAACCTTGATAGAATGTACTATGTTGTCCACTATTATCAGCGTCACTTGCTCTTACAAAATCAAATTGGATTGTAGGCAAATTAATAAACTGATTCTCTTTCGTTGCTTCCAAGGATTGTTCAAACCATTGAATTCTTTTCCTATTTGATAAATAATTTTTGACCATTCGAATTTTATCTGTAAGAATACTTTGTTTCGGAGACAAACTGAAATCAAGTAGTGATATAACTTTTTCAACAAATATCTCGAATACATAGAATAGTTTTGCACGATCTTGTACACATTTTGCTGGAATGTTCAACAAGGATGGGTAGAGTTCGAAACGTATCAAATTCGGCAAATAATCGATTGTTAGACTATGAATAAATTCACTGAATGAATGTTCAATCAAAGCATCGTTGTTCATTAGACTGATTAGCTGTAGATCTGATGTCTTGTCAAAATGATGATTTGAAACTACAATATCATCTAAAGTGAATTGAACAGCATCATCCAATGTATCGTATGCTTGTACGAAAAACAATTCAGGATATTGAGTTTGTTTTGTTTTATCAGTCATTGCATTAATAATATCGGTTACCATCCATAGATCTCGAAAATTTTGTGGAAATTCAAATAATTTGATTTCGAATTGTTGATTTTCATTGTTCATTATACCAAATTGAGATTTTTGTCTGGTTAAGTCTAAAAATACGAAATCCATGACAATGATTTGTAATCTTTTCATCGTTTCACTGTTCACATATGCTTCATTTGATAATAATTCGATTAATAATTGGGACATGAAATGTTGCATTCGTTTGTTTAAATTAAATTTTTTGCTTGCTTGCATTAAACTATGATATAAAAAAGAAAAAAAATTAACCAGTGTAATATTTTTGACTTGAACAAAAGAAATCATTATTACAATTGAATTCTAGATTGTTCAAGACTAGGAACATATGAATTAGTATGTTATGAATAATATTTAAAAGTAATCGAAATATGTAAATCCGCTGAAAGAAACTAAATTAGTGTGTAGTTAGGTTGAAAATCATCAGAATTTATTTTCTTCTTTTTGAAATAAATCTACTGCATTTTTTGTAGATCAAAATGCATCATATAGCATCTCTATTTGAGAGCTAAACAAGTTTTCAGTAACTTAAATTGTAATGAAACTGTTAAAAAACTGCAATATTTTAAGAGTAACGAATTTGAATCGTATAAAACTCATGATATTCTTAGTGATTATTAGATCTATACACGAGGCAAAATCTAATTCGAACACTCACTTATTTCAAACAAACTTGAATTAGTGAAAAAATGAAGTAAAATGCGAATAAATACATCTAAAAGCTCCTTCGTGAATTGTTTTTCATTTTAATGAAAATATGATAAATGGTTTTTTCTTTTGAGAAAAACAAACAAATGATTCTGTAGAATGTAAGATGCTAAAAAAAACGACTATTAGTTAAGAACAAGAATATTGTATAAAGATATCTACTCACGTAAAAAATAGTTGAAGAATGAAAATTTTTGATTGATGCATTGGAAGTAATAGAAATAGATTGAACATTACACTGATTAATGGTTCGGGAAAGAAAAATGGAATAAGTGCATCGATTTCAACTTGTTTCATCGTTGATTTATCAGTTACTGATTCAACGAAAAGATTTAATATTTTGAGAATAAAATTTAAATTCGGCTCTTCAGTTTTTGTTTGCTCCTCAATAATTGTTGTCTCATCATTGGAATCGTCTATTAATGACGATATTTTCAATAAATATCGATTCGATTCAATAATAATATCCTTCTGTAAATGGTACAGTAAAGGAACGTTGTTTGGCAAAATTTCATTGTTAACACTGGGGTTTTCAACTAATTCTTTTATTTTATTTTTGAGAATAGATTTTACTAAAAAATTCATTGGATTCACACTGTCATCTAAATGTAACCTGTTATATGTATAATGATAGTTAATAGATCGTAATAATTTTATAATGAATGGATAATCACCAAATTTTTCCAATGGAAATATATGCGAACTAGTGCTTGACCAGGCTTTCAATATATTCAAAATTGTGTCACGTGCATAGATCGACGTTAATCCTTGTTCACAAGCAATACGAGAATCTAAATATTGTTTTTGTGAAATATTCTTATGTGAATATTGAATAGATTGTTTAATTTTTGTTCTTTGATCAAATATTGCTGTCATGGTCTGTTCTTGTTCCGCTTTATTTAAATCGAATAATTGATAAGCAGTAGCAGTATCTGTTACCTGTGTTGTTGTAGATTTATCTCGAATCCATTCAGCAAAACTATAATTTAAATTGAATTCATCAATTTCTCGACGAAACCATGTCTTCTCCTTTTGATTTGGACTAGTATCATCTTTAATTTCTCTTTCAATAACTGAAGATTCCGATGTTTGCAAGTCATTCCAAAGAGCTAACACAAGTTCACCAATGCTTACCATTTGTTCATCGATATCAATTTCTAAACTATTGATTAAATTTTCTAGTTTTTCTTTATCAATCGATGAACCTAATCTTGATAAAATATTTAAAATACATTTTTGTTGCTTTTGAATGTCTGTTTTTAAAAATTCTTCTTTATGTTCACGTATAATTGTATCAATCAATTGAATATTAGTCGTTTTATGTTGTTTTATAACGGATTTTATCCATTCGACTTTATATCCAATATTAATTAGACTTGATGAAGTTATTGAAAATGGTGGTGCAACTAATGTTTCTAATGAATATTTTGGTGATTTCAGTATTTCATCTAAGTCAGAAGTCTCTATTGATCGATTTAGAAATGTAAATGATTTGCATTCAATTCGAAGTGTGTTCCCATTTGTTGTATTCTTTTTGAAATCAGTTTCTCTAAATAAATGAATTTGATTAGAATTCATAGCCAATGAATCATTATCGACCTCAGCATCAAGTACTAACAATCCATTTACATAGATTTTGATTAATTTATTATCTACACTAATGAGTAGACGTAAAAATTCATTTAAATTTAATGTTGATTCACTTTCATCGTTTTCTTCTGTCGTAGAAAAACAAACTGTACCGTCAGATGTCATAAATATTTTCGTTTGTGTATTCAGTAGAACTAATGTTAATTGTTCTTCATTCTTTGGAAAATTAGGTATGGAAATATCAAGAATAACAGTATAATTATTCCATTCTTGAATTGATTTTTTTACAACGAGATAACTTTTATTTCCGTAAAATTGTATAATTGATTCATCTGTTTCATTGATTGATTTAAAATAGTTCGACTCATCAATGTTAACTTGTTTTTGCCTTTGTTTCCATGCAGTCTCATCAAATGATTCATTGAATGGAACCATAAATTCATTTTGAAATTGTTGTTGATTTTTCGTAAATGTGAATGTATTTGCTTGCAATCGATATTCTTTTAATTGTTGATAATCAATGGCAACATAAGATATACCGCTAGTAAATATACGTCGAATATGTTCTTCTGAAAGTGCATATTTCCAAAGAGCCAAATTTTTTATTCCAGCAGCAATATTAGGTAGAAAATGAAAATTGAATTTTATCATTGTTTGATTATCAAATTCATCTTTTATTGTTTGACAAATTGTGTTGTTTGTATAGATTTTGATTTCTCGTTCTTTTGTATCAAATAAAATAACAGTTCTTGTTTCTTCATCATTTTTATTTAATGATATTCGTATTGCATGTTCTTCAGTTGTTTGTAATGTAAATAGTAGAATGTCAAATTTGTCATTGGAATCGCTTTGATTTTTCGTTAAAATTTGAAAATCAAAGCTAATTGTTAATGATGAAGTTTGACTATCAATTGAAAACGAAAAACCATCACTATCTTCCGTCAAAATTAATTGATGATTACTAATATTTAATGTAGTTTCGATATGATGTTCATTGACAAAATCACGTAGAAGAATTGTTGACGGTGTACTTCGTCGTATATAAACAAAATCTTCAACATCATCACCTACCAAATAGGCACTGTATGGATAAGCAACAATAGAATCTTTATTTTGACTAAGTTTAGGCATTAATATTGGTTTGTAACCTTCGGGTAATGGGCATGCGATCATATCTTCTGGACTAAATATCAATTCACAATAACCTATCTGACCGTAGTGTGCTTGTACAGTAACACCCGGAAAATATGTTGTATTCGTTCCATGTGGTAACAAATTACATTTAATATTTGTCGATGCAATATTTGATTGATGTGAAAATACTGTACCCAAGAATTTACCATTCAACCAATATTTAATTCGAGTATTTTCACCATCAATTTCTATTCCACAACCACAAACATCATTTGCTTTCCAACGAATATTTCGTGGTAAAAATTGGAATTCTTGGTCATAGTAGATAGTACCGCGCGATCCATCAAAAGACCATGAATATTTATCATCACCTATTCCCAGTCCTTCGTCAGATTTGGGTGTGAATCCGGTTGTCGCCCATCCAATTTGGACAAGGCCGCCCAATGGCAACTTAACACAATAGTACCAATTACCTTCACTCAATGCTAAATTTTCAACAATAAACGAAGGAAAGCTGTTGTGACTGTGGTTATCATTCATATAAATTCTACCTCTAAATCGGTGTTTATCACCACTCTCTTGAATTACACCCGACTCAGCTGCATGGCGTGGAAATGGAACAATTGAAATTTCATTGCTACCATTTCGACCCTTCTTATATAGCTCAATTTCGGCTTTTGATCCATATGGCTTCCAATCCCTATATATTACGTCACTTTTTGATGACCAATTCATGAGCGATTGATCTGATTTAGTATTAACCTTATTGTAAATACCAAGTGACGAATTGGCTTGAATATCTGTAGCAATTTGACCACTAACATTATTAATATTATTCAGTACTATTTGTTTCCATTCTTCGCATCTATCTAAACTGAAACAGTATTGTTCCAAATGTGATCTATTGAATAGACGTAAATTAGCGGGTTGAAAACCATTTTCTCCGAATGAGCCTGCGATTGATAATTTGGCAATAAATGAAGCATATGGTTTTTGCATGAAAGTATCGATTATTTTGCTAGCATTTAAGATTCTATAAAGAGTAGTAATAGAATAGCGTTTAAGTTGTAAAAGACGCAACGAATCACTTGATGATATATCAACCTGTATGATGTATCCTAATGTATCAAGAAGTGAATGTATAGCTACATTTGAATCACTAGTATTTGATAAAGCGAGTAAATTAGGTGGAAGAACATCGACTTTAACTTCTATTTTATCGATTGTAATCCATTCAGTTTTATTTTCTTGTAAATATTGGATAAAATAAGACAATACACCTGGTGTAGCTAGGTCACGAGCATTTGTATTGATATCAATAATTGTACCAAATTCGTATTCATTGTTTTCTTCATCAGTATAGATTTTCACAATTGAGCCTAAACCGTACGGTTGGATGTATCCACCTAATATATGTAATGATGCTAACAAATAATTCCATTGTTTTATATCAATGGTGTCATATGATATACAATCGATATTATTTAGACTCGATGTGATACTATCGAAAATTAGTTGCGTTGCCATCATTTGCCATGGTGATTTATAAGACATTATTGTACGATAAATGTAAATTAATTCAGTGACCGTCTCTGATGCGAGGGCTTGTGAACTATAACTATCACCAATAGAAAATAAAAATTCATTTAATAGTTTGTTAACCATTGAACGTGATGTTCCGTTTGTAGTTTCCGGTACTAAGGGAAGTAAGTCACGTAAGATTTTCAATGAAAGTAAAATCGTCGCTCTGTTTTGACTATTCCGATAAATGTATAATAGTTCTTGAATGAAATCAACAGTTCCACAAACAGATCGAACATGCTCATATAAATGAATACATCGAAGCAAAAGTGTCAACCATTGATTTGTACAAAGTTCAATTTCAAATTTCGATGATAAAAAATTATTTGAAAATTCTGATGTTTCATTTATAGTTGTTTTTGTTGTTACATAAATGAACCATCCCATAGAAGAATTGTTCAAAGAATGATTTCTACATTCAACAAAATCTACAGTATTGTCATGTTTTGCATCAATGGGTAATGCTTGTTTCAATTGTCTCAATCTTTTCAGTTCGTTAAAAATTAATGTGTTAAAGACAAAGTCTTGTTGTTGTGCTAATTCTTCGATTTGAATATTTTTACATACTTTTAATACATAGAGTCGAAACCAATTGTATCCGATTAATTTCGTATAGAGTGAAACGGTACGATCTATTTCTTCTCCAAAGTTGACAAATGTTTTGAATAATGTTTCAATAAATTGATGATGATATAGAAGACGAATGTCAGCTAACTTATACGATAGATTTAGTAAGTTGAATATATTTCGATTGAATATTTTTGATTGTAAAATAAAAGATAGAACACGTTTGATTATTGAATAATAGTTATTTCGAATTTCTTTTTTCAATTCATTATTTGTTGCTTCAATATTTTCTAAGTAGAACCAATTAACATTTGATTTTCTCAAATATGGTAAATATACAGTTAGAATTAGCGAAACTCGTTTTTTTTCTTCATCAATTTTTAATGCTTTCTGTACAAATGTATCAATGAATCGATATGTAATCAGTCGAGTCATTGCACGTTCATGTTGTTGTACAATGCATTGAACGAGCTCATCGGATTCCAATTTTGTTTGTTCATTTGCTATCGATATTATCTTTTTGTGAAGATTACTAAAAACAAAATTATTGATTTCTTTATTCAAAATACTCTCATTATCTTGATTTTGTTCAATGGCTCGTTTTTTAGCTAGCATCAATCTTTTAAATCGAATGCAAGCATGCAACGTATGTCGTAGTATTCTAAATATATATTTTGCTGTTGTCCGTCGTGAACATTGTTGCTGTAACACAAATTCTTTTCTTTCTTGTTGTACATATGTTACAGCTTTTGTACTTGTTGTTAGTTGTGATAGATCATCTTGAATTATAGGAATCAAATTACTTTCGTTAACAATTGATAATAAAAATAATGTTTTCATTTTGATTTGTTCGTATAGATAATTACAATCACCACCTTGTGCTTTCGTTGTGATAAATAATGTTTGAACATGATTTGCATATTCATAAAGTGATAAAAGTTTACTATGAGGTCTTTTATCATCTGTTCGAGATAGTTCCGATTTGGCAATATTAATTCGACGATAGTGTTTTATATAGACAGCAAATAGAGCTGCACATGCATCATTTGCTTGTTGTTCAATCGATTTAAATAAATGTTGTCGATTTTTGACATAAAGTTTCATTTTCGATATTAATTTTGCACCTTGATCAATGTTGGTATAGACTGACATTAAAAAATCCTTATCTGACGATACCTGTTGATCTAAATTCGATAATTGAAATTTGCTATAAGCAGCAAGATTAGACTCATATAAATTTAATAAATATTTATTATGTTCAATTATTGTTTTCTCACATCCACCAGTAAACAGAAACAATTTCAATTTGTCGGCATGTTTCATTTCCAATGAATTTTGTCGTGAACCAGCAATCAGTACATTACTCATTTTTCCAATTAACCAATACAGAAAATGCATAATGTCTTCTTCACTATTTCTATCGTGTAGCAAATATTCTGTTAGTAATGGCAAGATAGATATGAATATTGGTTGAACTGTGGCGAAGCTAAAGATTTCTGTTTGTGTCATTAAACCTAAACCAAGAAGAATTTGATTGATTATATCATTTGTTCTCTCCACTTTGTTCCTATAAATGTTAAATATATGTGAAATATACTGAGCGAAAAATAATGTAGAATTAGCATCAATAGATGTTTCCATTTCTTCTATTTCATTATTATCGACCGCTTCACTTTGAACTCTTTTCATTTTGGATTGTGGTACTAAGCGAACTAGAAAAAATTGTTGGAATAAAACCAATACTTGTGTAATTTTTTGCTTTTGTTCTTCATTCAAATTGCTAGTTGGACTGAAGCAAATATCAACGAACGAATACAATACTGTTAGTGCTCCGATTTTTTCTGGTTTGTTATTATTATCGGAACACAAAATTTCAATCCAGCTTAATAGTGTGACTTTCTTCTTTAGTTCGATGAAGAATTGTTCAACTAATGCATGATATTTATTTTCAATAATATATGTATGAATAAATGATAACTTTTCTGTAAATGATTTTACTTTTAAATCCATAACATAAATTAGAGCTTTCGACGCTTCTCTACACAGTGTTGTCGGTTCCGATTTGTTATCATCGTCAAAAGCCAATATCAATAAGAAATCAAACCATTTTCTTAATTCATCATCACTTGCAAATGTTGTTAAATTAATATTATTCGTACTTTCAATGGAAGAATCTTGAGAAACTTTTATTATCTCATCGTCGATTTTTGTCAATAGATTTCTGCCAATATTTGACTTCATAGCAGAGAGAAATTGTAAATGTGTTTTAAATAGTCTGATGCATACAGTTAGAATATGAATAAGAACTGAATTCGAGTTTTGTATTGTTATCATTGTCAATTGTTCGAGAATATGAAATAATTGTTTGAATGTATTTGGATGAAATTCAAAGGAGATTGAGCTATGAATTGTACCATTTGTGAATTGTTTGTTTAAATTAATTTCATTATAAATATCAATGTGTGCCAGAATAATTGATGAAATGAATTCACCAGTAAATCTTGTTTCATGTAGCTCCATTAAACTTGCGTTAGGATATACTCCATTTAATTTCAAATAGTCCAATGACATTAGTAATAGCTCGTCTAGAAATGTTTTTTTTTTCATCAGAATTATTTTCAGCTCTCTTCTCTTATCAGAAGTTTTTGAGAATTACATCTAAGAGCGATTACACAGTTTTTTCTATTTTGAACTGAACTGATTACTTGTTCCATTCGTTTAAATTAGCAAGCTTATCTTAGCTGGACATTTCAGATAAAAATAAAACGATAATACAACATTATTACTCGTACTATTTGTCATAATGAATATTTTTTTTTTGAAGTATTTACTACTTTATGGTAAATGACAAGTGATGACTTTAACAATTCCAGTGAAAAACTAGTAAATAAAAAGTTTATATTCAAATCTAATTTGTGTCTCCCTCAGCACTGATAAATATTCTGAAAATATGAGATAATCCATCTCAATCGTAATAACTCCATATGTCATTGGAGATGAATAGAAGATGAATCTCATATTCAACAGAAAACTATAGACAAATTCTGAGCAGGTCATTTTTACGATCAAATAGATCGATCCTTTCAAAAATGAGGTCGTTGGAAACACGAAGATCGAAGTGTCTTCTCAAAAAAACAACAACAAAAAGAAACTCAACTCGTACATGTTGTAGGATAGACTTTGTTATATATGTAATTAATGCGATCAAAAGAGATTCTCTAACCTGTTGTTTTCTTTGATATTGTGCTATTTGTCTTGTCTTCTCTGTCATGAGAAGCATACTGTGATCCATTGTCTAGCTGTTGTTTTTCTTGTTCGAATTGATTAATAATTTCTGTGAGACAATTGTTCAGTTGTAGAAATAAATGCCGTACATTGTAAATGTCAATTTTATTGAATATTAATTTACTTATTATGGGTAGAAGATCTTTGAATGATGCTTGTGTGATTGAAAACTTTAACAAAATTTGTACAGCTTGTGTTGCTAAAATGCGATCTGGTGACAAACATAGTTCATTAATATAATTTGTCAATGGTTTCAACGATTTAAACATTAAGCTGTTGCTATTTAACGATACTTCCAAAGACGATAAATATTTAATAGGAATTTGTTCGCACAATTGACTTGCTAACGTAATTACTTGCGAATTTATTGATGAATCGACTCTTTCATTAGCTTTGATTGAAACTAGCAATAATGATGTTAACAATTGTATAGCAAAATAAGAAAACTGTTGATTTTCAATTTCTCTTCTTTGTTGAGCCACCGTAGACGTCTGAGCATCGTGAATGGATGTAGTAGTCGCAACCGACAGAATATTTTTGTCGTTGGCTGAAGATTTGATAAAGGGCTCTGCAAAAATGGATTGATCATTATCATTATCATCGTCTATTTTTTTCCTTAAAGATTTTTGTAATTGCTGCTGCTGATCAAACATGACTTTCATTTCTTTAAGTGTTTTTCGATAACGGTCAATAACAGGTACAAAACCATTTTCCATAAGTGTTTTATTGACTTTAGTATTGATCTCTGTCACTTCATTAGCCTTAGTCAGTAATAATAGATAATTTTGAATTTGTTTTATTAATAGTTTTTCCGAATTCAAAATTGAATTATTATTATCATATTGAGTTTTACTTATTGTTGTATCAGCAAGTGTTTCCATTGATAAAAATAAATTAATATTTTCTTTACCATTACCAGATGCAATCGAATCCGGACTGAGCACTGCTCCATCTTTCGTAGTCCAGTCAACAATTTGTGAATTTACACTTGACAAATGTTGACCCATTAGTCTATTCACAAAATTATTGACTCAATTCAAAGTTTAAAAATACAACATGTGCTATGCACTAAAATTAATTCTGAAATATACAAAACACAATAATTTATAAATAAAGAAATGAATTTAAAAAATAAACACTTATATCTTGAAAATAGGAAAAAAATCGAATATTCGACGATGATTATTATTGTTCGGATGAAGAGTTCTATTACATTTACAAGTGTTGGAAATATTCACGCCTCGTATTCAGGATATTCCCAATATGATATGTGGGAATTTTTCTACTGTGTTATCTTATGACGTATATAGGTTTTCCTCAACCTACTCAGATATATATATATATATGTAATCGTTCTAGTTATTTTTGTGTTCTTAGAACTTATATCCATTATCTCGTTCTCTAACTGTTTTTCTATTCTACATAATAACCACGATACTAACAATAAAATGTACTCTCGCATAAACAAATAAGTTAGTAAACTTAAAATAAAACATACAAAATATATACTGATGATGCATAGCTTGTTCACAGGTAATACATTCACATATTTTTGACCTTCGGATTATCATAACTCAATAAGTTGAGATGACAACGAGCTGAAACTTACGTTGTATCTTGACGTATGACAGTTCTAGTTTCATTAAAATTTTCATTTCATTTGGTCGAATTTTGATGACTCTAGACTCATAGAAAGTCATAGTAAAGCAATCATTAAAAATAACATCCTTGCATTACAGCATTTCAAAAAAGCTCACACTCCTTGAAAGTTTCTGGTTCTGAACAAAATGCTTGAATGTATGCTTATG